CTATAAACCCCGTCAGATAGCGTTCCCCCTGCTTAACATGGGGGGAACCCTATCTGACGGGCCTATAAACCCCGTCAGATAGCGTTCCCCCTGCTTAACATGGGGGGAACCCTATCTGACGGGGTTAATAGGCCCGTCAGATAGCGTTCCCCCCATGTTAAGCAGGGGGAACCCTATCTGACGGGCCTATAAACCCCGTCAGATAGCGTTCCCCCCATGTAACATGGGGGGAACGCTATCTGACGGGCCTATTAACCCCGTCAGATAGGGTTCCCCCCATGTTAAGCAGGGGGAACGCTATCTGACGGGGTTAATAGGCCCGTCAGATGGCGTTCCCCCCTGATGTCGTTTACGTTGAGTTGCAATAAATGCTAAACTCTCTGCAGGTTCTTGTCTTTGTCGTCGCTCTATTCAGCTGGCTTTGAAACACACGGCGAGAAGGTGGGGGCCGGGTGGTGAGGGTTACGGGGGCGAGAAACGCAAAAGTAACGCAATAGTTACTTTTACTAGTAACTAGTTACTTTTATTGTGGAGTAACTTAGTAACTCAGTTACTTTTTGGGAGAAGCAACTAGTAACTATAACTAATTACTTTTTCAAAGTAACGTGCCCAACACTGACACTGACAGAGCCTTTAGTTTTTTCTGTTGTATCAGCAAAGCCTTTGTCAAATGTTGCCTCAATATATGGACATAGAAGTCAAGTTAGCTAACTAACAGATCTGGTGTTTGCTTTAAGGCCTTTCCATCCTTCTGGGGAACCAAACCAAACATCAGGGAGGGTATTCTTGGACAGATCCCAGCTATTTATAGGAATGTTCCCACAGACAGGAGCTGATATTCATTTCCCAGCTTGACCCGGCAGGACATCAGTGTCTTAGAGGCCATGAACTTTGACCTGTTGCTAGTTTTACTGATGCTTTATCAAGCGAAAATTATGTGAAGCTTTTCTCATCTTTATGTTTCACAGATGATATTAAAATTTGACATCAGGAAGGCCCTACTCCTGTTGCAGGCCACTACTTTGCTCCAACCTCACCTCAAAGACACATCTTATCTGACGTATCAGCAGAGGCCTGCAGGCTGAGTTGTTAAACTTTTGAAAGGTTGAGATTTGGCAGTGCTTGAGACGATGAGAAAGGAGAAGGAATTATAACACAAAGAGCCTTTTGTTTCAGCACCATTTTAGGAATATAGCTCAGCCTCCGACAAGCCTGAGGAAATACCAAAGTGGGGAGGCGCTCCATGAGGAGACCATTCACTGGAATGGTAGAAAAGGTATGAAAGATAAAATATCTGAACACCTTCAGAGCGTGTTTTCCTGTCAAAACATCATGTAAGATCCCAGTTTTTTATCTTTGCAGGTTGTTATTATTTTATATGGAGATGCTCTGTTTTTCTGATTGTACATTAATTAATTAAGTTTTTCATTCAGTCATCTGAAAAAAGATATAAACAGGGAAGGAGATTTTTATTTTAAAGCAAAGTGCAGAGGTTCACTGTTGTATTTGGCAGTTATATCTGTAACAGATAAACACTGAATAAGCAGGGCAACACAGAGACAAACAGGACAAACAACCATTCACTCACACCTAAGGAGGATTTAGAGAAGCCAATTAACCTGACAGTCATAATTCTGGACTGTGGGAGGAAGCTGGAGTACCTGGAGAGAACTGTTTTTCTAATGTTTTTCTACGCTGAACATAGAGGCGTCTGCAGTTCTTTCATTCCGTCTCTATCGGATTCATTGCTGTTGAACCTGGAGGTGTTCTGGTTAAAGGAATAAAAGCTTCAACCAGCTGGAAGAACTTTGTGTTTACCTAGAAAAACTGCATTAGGAGACGTTTAGTTGTATTCAGCATCTTTTAACCAGTAGGATTTATTATTGGCCAAGAAAAGAAAAAACACAACTGCTGCAGAGCTGAGCCTGTTATTGATGGTCAGTGATATCCGTTCAATCATCAGTGTATCTGAAAAAAAACACTCTAGGCCTGATATTTCTATTAAAGATCTATTTTCTGTTGTAATGTTTTAAGGATTTTTGTGTTTTCATTTTCTGTTCCCATAATCACCAAAAAATACTACCGGTAAAAGGACAGTTTGAGGATATTCCACTCTATGTGGGATGGATCTATGTTATATTCATCAGCTTCACTTTTTTCAGACATACGGACCAAAATATTGGACTTTATTCTGTTAACATTTGAACTCCACCAACTGAGAAATTATTAAAATAATGGTTCTGGATTTCTACTTTTCTAACAGCCTTCCTAAACTCGGATGGATTCTAATCAAATTAATGATCCTCATGTAGACAAAGATTCACCTGCTGACCCTCATCAGTCAGAGGTGCAGCTGAACCCAAAGCCGGTTCTTCCGGATCCACAGGGATCCGAATAAAATCAGAACAGCTTCAGATGTTTAACAAAGTGTCAGACATTCAAATAAAACCATCAATATTTAGGATCATCATATTAAACCTTCATAATCAATCAATAAACAACATATATAGATTTGTCCTCATATCTATTTATAAAGATTCTACAGTTGTTTTTCTAAACCTGTCTCTATGACATCATAATTGCTCATAATAACAGACAGAGGTGAACAGAGCCATGGATGGCTGAGCAGAGGTCACTTACTCAGCAGGACCACCAGCAGCTGCTGCAGGAACATCTCAGACCTTCTGCTCCAAACTCAGACCAGCCAGAACCTTCTCTGGATCGGGTTCTGGTTCCGTTCCAGCAGGTTTTCACCACGTCTCTGAACAGTGTCCGCATGTTTGTGAGCTGAGTCTGTGAGGCGGAGCCCAGATCAGCTGAGACCTTCTAATCCTGAGGGCAGAACACCTGTACCGGCTGGATGAGACAGGTGTTCCAGTGGGCGTGGCTTTGAACCAGGCAGAAAGAAAACAATGAGAGCTGTGGAATACACACCCCTCTAACTCTTATTAAAGAACTACAGATACCCGAGATTAAAGGACTACAATTCCCTCTGATACTAGAGGACTACAAATTGTTACATGTTTTTAAACTTATTTTATGCTCTAATTACACTAATGATTTGAGTTTTTTTAGCTATGAGTTATTCATTTCCAGTTTTCTTTCTTTAGAAGCACCATAGAAATAAAAAAATAATAATTTTCACTTATTACAGTGTAAGGTTTAAATACTGCCTTTAAAATAATTTTAACCCATTTTTCTCTTTCTTCTTGTCGCACTCTTTTTTCTCCTTATGGTAATTTGACCATTATCAATATGCACACCGAATCCGCTGGTGCCACCCGGGATAAATCCCGCTCTAGGTTATCTATGTCTCAGCAAAATCAAATATCTTTTGGTGATATTTACGAGAGTTCCTCGTTGTACTCAACAGCAGCCCTGTGTATTACTGCTGCGTGAGAGTCTTGTATTTTCAAGTGGAAAAACCCAAATCTACCTTTAATTATGTGAAAGGACGGAGCGGACTCAGGGGTCTCTGGATTGTAAGGAGAGGGCTCAGGGGTCTCTGGAGAGGACGGAGCGGACTCAGGGGTCTCTGGATTGTAANAGGACGGAGCGGACTCAGGGGTCTCTGGATTGTAAGGAGAGGGCTCAGGGGTCTCTGGAGAGGACGGAGCGGACTCAGGGGTCTCTGGATTGTAAGGAGAGGGCTCAGGGGTCTCTGGAGAGGACGGAGCGGACTCAGGGGTCTCTGGATTGTAAGGAGAGGGCTCAGGGGTCTCTGGAGAGGACGGAGCGGACTCAGGGGTCTCTGGATTGTAAGGAGAGGGCTCAGGGGTCTCTGGA